TAATTTACATAACCATGTATTATATCTATTTTTTTTACTAGAGAAGGACACGTGAATGACCAGGCGACGGATATGCACGACGGAAATGGCCTGCTACATCAACGTATGATGAACATAAGTAGACGAAGGCAGCCTTGACCTATGATGAAGAACTTCGTTTTGCTGCTATACTTAGCCAGATTACGATGTAAAGGAGGCCCCAAACAGCTAGCGAAACTATAATGAGTAAGATGTTCAAAATCAGGAACCCGTTCCGATGGCTAGACGTTGTTACACAGACGTGGAACTATAAGGATGTATCGACTAGATACAACTATCTTCTCGAGTTCGATTAAGCCCTAGTTATAGTTTTTACGGATTTGAACCAAAGGCCTATATACACACTTCATTCAAGGAGTGTTCCATTGATGGAATGTAAACCTACCTTGATCAAACCGCACCCAGTTACCACTTATCAAACCTACTTTTCACCCTAAAAACTGACAGTCGTCGTATTTTTTTATCTTCGCCCTAAATCATAGGTATTTTGTAGGAAACGTGAGGATAACTCGACAGTCACAAATGACATAGGTTTTGCATTTAACAGAGATAAGCTACCTGACTTGTTACGTTAGGCTAGTCAACTATTAAGTTAGTCGTGTGTTGACCAGTTGATTGATGGCAAGCTATATATATATTTCAGTGCATTACATTGGGTTTCTCTCACACTGCGGATGCACAGATTCGAATGTCAAGGTTAACGAAGGCCATCTGCGTGTGGCGATATCCGGCGTCTGATATGCACATGATACTTATTCGTACCATATATGCATATATTATTTTGATTTCTCCTCTTATTTTCTGAAGACACCCTTACCATCTATCTAGGTGACAGGACGGTACGCATCAGGACAATAATAAAATGGCGATGAATATATGAAAACAGGCGTCAAGGTGAGCCGTGAGCGACGAATAGGTAATGTGCAGATTCCTGAGATGCCTTCGGCGCGGTATGCCATAGCAAATGCCGTAAAAGCGTCACCTATACTAGTTTCTACTAGCCGTTGTCTTAAAAGCTGTGTGAGAGCGACGTGATCGCAATGGCGAACTACAGAGAGCGAACGACCGGCCAAGTACTTTTAGGCCTTGCAGCCGGTCAGGAGGCCCGTCGCGAACTGAATCGACTTCTCGAGCCGCATCGTATCCGACCCAGTATTCTAGCTGGGTCGCTCAGTTGTGGCATCATAGGTTGGCGCTCTTGTCGAAGGCACACATCATCATTTTTCGCGCGTCGTGGCGCTTCAATATGTCTCAGTCTCTACGTTAGTGCGCCTCTGTATTAATCAACAAGCATGTGTCATTCTGCAAGCCCAAACAGAAAATTGCAGATGACTCCGAGTGACTCATCCTGTTGTTTGTCCGCTGAACGCGGCTGGTCCATGCTGGCAGAAGCCAGCCGTCCCATGGAATGCTTAGCGGCGATACTGAACGTAAAAAATCGAAACACGGAAGCATTAGGGTGAGGCTGGGAACCCAGCGGCAAAACTGCAGCGGCGGTGGCTACTGTTGTCCCTGGTGCAGTGGAGGATATCGGTTGATGTAGGCAGCCGTGGCGCCGTCTGCGTCAGCCGTAACGATAACTGACTCCAAGGCCGACAAGCGCTGCTGGCGACAAACACATCATCTACTGCTGCAACTTCTAATTAAACAAGCAAGCATCCCTGCTTCTATTACGTTACTGCTGTTTAAGCAACAACTGACCGCAACAGCAAGCGAAATCCTTACATCATAGTCGATGATAATTGCATGGAAACAGTCGCCGAACTCGTGAATTTCGCTGGTAACGCAGTACCTGTTTACTGCCAAACTGAACTCAGTGAGCAACAATGAGAAAGATTAAGACGTAGAAAGAGTCGGTGAACAAAAATGGCAACTTGAATTATCATAGCAAGCCCCTTTTATATACATATATATATATATATATATACATATTATTGAAGTACAGGTAATCAGGCGAGTACGAAGAAGACACTTGCATGAAAATCACGTGTGCGTTTATAAGTGCATCTCTACGGTCACTTTTGGTTACATGGCTCAGTTTCGAGGTTCAACTTTGGAGAGATTTTAAAATAATTAGTCGAAATTTGGCCTTGATGTTTTAAGTTGAGACATTTAAAACGTTTACTTTTGAATTGAACGTAAAACAGCCGGAAGCGGAGTCGCTCTGAAGGAACGTCGCAGCCGTTGACGACACGTGGTTGCTGCAACTGACAGGCTATCACAGCAGCCGCGCGAACAATCAAGTTAAGTTCCTAATCCCGTAACTTCCGTTTCGATTCAGACAGAAAGTAGAAACGCCAAACTTTGATCGGCCAATTCTCTAACTAACGGTGTATTCTTGGACAAATAACGCTCCAGCAGCGTCGGTTTACGAACCCTTCGATGCTTTTAGATGTAGAGTAGACCGATAGCAGACGCAATCACAGCTGTTATGACAGTGACCTCATAGGAGGGCGACATACCGATCGAACTAGGCCGTCGGCTATTTTAGGCTCATGTGACGAAACCCGTCTAGTAGTCGGCTAATGTATAACTAGTTAGTCAGTACTGAACCAGTCTTCTTTTTGTTGTTTTCGGTTAAAATTACGTTACTAATACCATAAACTATATATCTACTCTGTCGGTACAAAATAAAAACCACTTAATCCACTCCGTGTTTAAATTGTACTGCAACATATCACCAACAGTATACACGATCATATCAGAGTTGTATGCCATCTTGGGACCGATGGTGACGTTCTGATCTAATGTGGGGTAAATGCATTATGAGAAATATTTGGCCTAACCAATTAGAGTCAATAAACTTTATAGACAGAACAGAGGGTACGTTATTCTCTTCTCAGTAAATTTGTATATTTACAATATACAACTACAAATGGCGAATATTTGCTCTGGTTAGGGAACGTTCTGATGAGGGCTTTAACGTCGATTATAAATGCTACAAGTTTAAATGCTACAATACGTTTTTCTAACTTTCATATTCCATTATATCCGTAGATAAAGGTAAAACATTACTTACTAAATTATGATGATGCGACGTTTATAAATAGTTGTCAAGTTATAGTCGACAAATATGCAAAGATCAATAGTCAAATGGATTTACAGGAGCATTTGGAGCCAGCTGTTCTTCGATTACCATTTTATAAAGAATCTGGTAGCTAAAGAATATATCAACTTGTAGACTACTAACTTTAGTCTCTCTGCTCCATAATAGTAATAATAAAGATATTTATTTGCGTCTTTTTGGTCCGTTTCAAGTGCCAGTATAGGTTTTCGCATCTCAGATCCGTAAACTTTACTTAATGATGTACCAATTATGGCTAAACGAAGTTAGTGAGTTCATATCTTTTGGGGTATGATCACTGCCACTAAACTTCGCCGTTGTAGCATCAGTTAGAGCAATTTAGGATCTTGAAGGTTGTTTAATTGTTATAGGTGTGTATGTGTAGTCTTTCTTAAAAGTCATCTTTTTTTCCAAGAAATATTCCGAAGCCTCTATCGTCCGTTTAGTTCTATTAGCTTGGTTCGAATGGTATTAGGAATAAAAAAACCCTACTGGGACACGAGATCGTGCCGTTGGCAACCGAAGACACGCCCATTCTAACAGTCCCCGTTTGCGACACTGGTTATCATTATTTTGAGGCGGCCGAGAGATAGGAAATTGGAAATTTTTCGTCTAATTTGTATATTTTGACTACAAAGCTGAAAAATGCACGCTTGACCTTGTAATCGCACAACCTCCGTATACCTTTCTGGCATTATTGGCGTTTTGACACAAAGCGTATTGGCGAACAAAGATCAGCCGGGGCTTAGGTTAAAGCTAGCGTCAAGCAATCTCAATAAACATTTACGCATCGATTGCAACTGTGACCTCGCATTAAGATGGCGCATTTTTTTGTAATGTACTGCAATAAACAAGTTAATTAATCGATAAGCTCGCCGCAGTGATTGGCGGATCCAGCGCAGAGCAATGACTTTCATTTCGATGCAGTTCCTCTGATTAAATACTTAAAATACATAGTGCCTCCTTGTCATTCAGGTTTACGGTCGGAGGGAGTCATTCACTAATTTGGATCGTCATTCTTGTTCTTAATACGTATCTATTCGTAACTGGCTAACCTTGTTTATTATCTGGAACGCTCAGGCTTTAGTCTATCGTCGTATCAGAATACTCGAAGCGCCGAAAATGTATATATTTTGCAACCGACGCCAACCTAACCACCTGAGGTACTAAGCTTATTATTCGACTATGGCATGCAGACTAGTCGAATACTCCTTCTCAAATATATATGCCTATGCAATAAAACTTATAAAGATTTGTAAAAGTCCCGAGAGCTAAAATTACATCGAAGTGTAGATCTCCGATATTTACCAACATCTTATTACCCAGGCACCCATGCCCCGCAGAAACATCAAAAAAAGCGAACACCTTTATTTGTCATGCCATTGGTTTTGTTGTAGTTGCGCCATTATACATAATTTGGTTGTGGTGTCGAGCTGGGAGGAACCCTAATCTAATCGAACTAAAGACAAGGCTAGGCAATGTCCATCATGCCGAAAGAACAAATCAGGAGCTGTTCATACTGCACGGTTTTTCTGAGGACGGTCAAATCCTTATAAAACTTCAGCTTTGATAGTGGATGTTTATATTGATGACAGATTGGAACAAATTAAGACTTCATTTATTTGAACAGAGATGCCGTGTTTGTCTGCATTGTTACGCGACTTGCGTACGAACTGTTCGACCAGATTCCAGATTCGCAGGGCCAGTTCTAGCAATCGCCAGGGGGAGCCACTTGAGCGCCACCACTCGCGCGCTGTGACGTCATAGTACAGTCGAGAAGGTTGGCGGGTTGAGAGAAAGGGCCTGGCTGACCTAGCGGAAAGTACAGGCATTTTTCTTATGATAGACTTTAATTTTATCTCTAACCAATCCTTTGATCAACTAAGCAAGAAGCCATATGAGTGATAAGTTACAAAAGTAGCTATTTATGCGGTGTCATTCTTGACACTGTTGAAACCGCAAGACACTAAAATGAGCAAGATTCGTCTGGAAGAGTCGCCATCTGATCGAATAACCCGTCAAATTGACGGGTTGCGCCAGCTGATGGTGGGAGCACTGTGTGAAGCTGTACGTGCACAGGCTGGGTTTGCAGCTAGCAACAAAAATGAACTTCAACCGAAGACCGTTTCAGTTTTCGCCAGACTTTGGCTTTGAGCACGCTTCTAGTTCATTTCGTGACCATTTTGACGAGTCGTCGGAAGTGAACGATATGTTCAGTGCGGGAGCACCGCCGGGACGGTGGGATGCGGCCGACCTGCCCAGGTTTCACGTTGTACGTAAATTGCCGAATCTGTATTATTACTATATATATGTATTACGTATTGCGCAGTGTTTTTTGGATCTTCGTTGCAACAGGGCGCAGTCCGATGAAAAATACGTCATCCCGTATTGCTATCCATAAGTTAAGGATTACCTCAAATAAGTGATTGCGCAGCAAATTGCGATGTATTGATTTACATAGTGTATTACACTGACCATAAATATGTGGTGTTTGTGCGTGTGGTGTGTCTCGTGGATATATTCATAGTAGTCGATCGAAAATTCTTGCTGCGATTCCATTGATCATCGGCATCATCAGTTGTCATTTTTCATCAAGCAAATAAGCAATGCTTATGTTCCGCCAGCGTTCTGAGTTCTCTCTCTCACACATGCTCTTTCTCACTCACTCACTCTCTCACCTCCCTCTCATTCTCTCCTTGTAGCGGTTTTCCTTTTACATCCGAGCATCGACTTGTGCTACCGAAACCGCATAATGAATCTTCTGGGAGTGTGTGATGCCGCCGCGTTTCCTACTCAATCGGCAGCGCGGCCACACAATGCTTAAGCATCAACGCAAGATCAAGCATAACTTACTTTTTACAGAAAAATTACCACCCCAGACGGCTATATTGGTTTTCAGAAGAGAATCACATGTTTGCTCAGGCTGTACAATTGAAAGCCGCAAAAAATAAACAGTAAGGTTTCGGCTCGGTCGATAACTAGGGAACAACCACATATTGCTTTAAACTGCCGATGGTGGAAAGAACCGAATATAATGCATGATGTTTTAAAAACGTATACGTCAACGGCGACTTGAATGCAGCAGGAGTGGCTATATAGCCCTCGTTGCATTATGCCGACAAAGAGGTCTGTATATATGAAGAAGTCTCTATATAGAGTGAAGTACACCGATAAGGTTGTAACAAATCAACGAAAACATCTAATTACAATGGGCGCCTTTCATTCAACAGGCACGTGGGTAACTGAAAACTGCAGTTATATGGCGACTGTATTTGTACGAGTACCCATAGGTGTGGTTTTATTATATTTAGTTTGTTACTAATAGCAATTATTGCTCTTCGCTTTAAATGCGTGACACGGCGCGCTATTTAACGCGTTCTCCATTTTCTTAAGGTGATAATATGCAAGCTTTTGCTGGTCTTTCCAGTCCGGTACAACGATATGTTGAATTGTAAAGGTAACCTAATCGAATGTACTAGTATAGGGGGCGCACTGCGCGAACTTCGTGTAAGGTCGAGCTTTTAATTGCGTGAAGCACTCCCGATTACGGAGGCCGTGAAGGTCGTTGCGTTTCTATGCGCAGACAATGAGTTCCAACAGCCTTTTTTGATAAGAGTAATATTTGGCGGGTACTTGGTGGTTGTCTTTTTTGGTTTTACTGTGCAGCCTTAACAATTCTCCCGCCTCCTTCATCTGTTATTGCTGCCGTGGGCCTTTGGGGATAGTTTTATCAGTGTCAGCAGCGTAGGGCCACGACGGTGACGATTATGACTGTAACAACGGCAGTAGCATCACTGTCATCGACAAAATGAATGTTCGTAAACGAGTCGGAAGTTCGTGTTCGGTTAGTCTCGGTGTGCCGATACAAGCAGCAGTCGGTCACTGGCGACTTGTATACCCAAATATATATATATAGCAACAGTAGGCACCTCTGAGAGTGCATAGCGCTAACGGCACGCCACCATTATTGCCTGTGCTGTGTGTGACCTCCGTCAGTGTTATCTGCGTAGTAGAGTGCTTAGAGTGGAGTACGCTTATTTTTTTTGTCGGTGTGTCCCCTTGCCTGTGTGTCTATTGCTAGATCGGCGGGTCGCTGTTCGAATCTGTGTGATTACGTAGTGCCCGATGTTTGTGTGCGTGTGGGTGTGTGTTTGTGTGATCTTCTGGGGAACTTCCCACGCTTAGGCCGCTCTTGCCTTGGGCAGTGCGATGTTACTGTTTACGCTAGGGATCATTTTGACCAATGTGTTTCACGTACCGCATTAATATTGCATCATCAACAACATCGCTAGTAGCAGCAGCGCCAGCCATTGCTGCCGCACATACCGCTGCAGCGTACGGCTACCGTCGCGTTTTCCAAAGTGATCATGTCAATTTCGTAAACGACCGATATAAAGCCCTGCGTAAATGTATGTTACTGTTTTTAAACCGTTGACGACTGCTGATTATATAGAATCAGCAGCCGTGAATGGTTCGATATGTTTTTTGTCTTTGATTTGGCCTGGTCATTTTCGTCGCTACGCAGGCCCAGCACAATCATCGTCATACCGAGGAACCTTAAGAATTATCGAATTCCAGTTGATATTAACTGGCATATTGTAGATTCCCCAGCAAATTCTTCGAACTTCGTTGCCATATGATCATACTCTATACACTTCGTGCACGGCCTTGCACGACAATGTATAGCCTTTAAAATTTTAACATCAAACGCTACCGATGTTTATATATATATATGCCAGGAAGTTTAAGGAAACTACTTGTTAATCCCTGACCCCAGTGTCATGATTGCGCTTGCTGCCTCTTATAAGTTTGCGATCTCACCTTTCACTAAGTTGATAATCGACGGGAACGGGTGTTTCCCGAACTATGAACACAACTGTTGACAAAACTGGCAGAAACGACAGGACATATATGCGTTAGCATAAAGGACTAGTGCAGTTTTTTTTACGATTCTTCGTTTTGCACGACTTTACTGAGCACTACGCGGCTTTGTTATATAGCGAAAGCATCTCCGGGGCGCAGAGCTACGCTGCAGCGAACGTGCCACCGTCAAGAACGTTCGTTCCACCCCATCTATGCGAGTCACTAGTTTGCGTTTTGGCTTCTGGTTAGTCGGCCTTGAGTTAGTCACTTTTGTAAAACGAAGAAGAAACGCTAACCCCCTTCACGAGTTTTGTTACCCGTTCTGCTGACTCCGAACCTATTCATGAGTATCGTTGATAATGCTATGTTTTTCTACTTTTGCTTCCAGCCGGGATTTGGTCACGACTTCAATAACGATCCATTCAGTCTTTCGTCTGGCCAATCATTTTTTAGCAATCCTCGTGGCGTATCGAGAGAGGTACCAATTAAGGTATCCCATTACAAGTCCGGTCCGGCTTCGGATGATTTATCACGCGCAAAGGGTGCCACCAGTAGCTCAACGGGTACGACTGGCTCTGGCGAAGTATATATCCCCATCCATGTAGAAGGTGAAGTCAGAAAAAATAATCAGGCACGCCCGGAATCTTCAGGAGCGCAGCATCAAGAATTCCATCACCGGCAACAACAATCCCCAGTGGGTAAAACCCAGACAGATGCCCAACATGGACAGGAGGAAGTCGTTTCCGAGAAGCAGCAGCCTCAGCAACAGCATACATATTCATATAGATCAAGCCTGGGCGAGGATAGTCCTCATCGTTTTTCAACAATGCCGCCTCGCGGGAGAACCTTCGCTGGCTATATGACTCCAGGAAAGGCAGGAGGTGGCATACCAATCCCCGTGCATGTGGAACGCTCCGACTCAAGCCCGGTGATTGGCGATGACCGCTTCGGGCAGCAAAAATCGCCGGAACGAGGATCAGAGGCGCAGAGTAATACTGGGACATTCCCTCGCACCAAAAGCAACGAAGCGCCTTTACGATGGATACAAGGGATGTTTAGGGGACCGCGTGTTGCGGAACAACCTGGTGATCCGGTACGTATACAGCTAGTGCTTCTTTCCACTATTAGCACTAGCAACTATTAATACTAGCTCTGCTGTCTCTGTATAGCCCAGTCTCAGTATTAGTTTTTATATCTCGCACTGCAGCCCAAATGATTACCACCATGATTAAATCTTACAGTTAGCGTCTACTAGCTAACCTAATACAAACGTTCTCCTAAACGTTCACGTTGATATTATTGGTATGTTTCTTTTTTCGAATTTATTGGTGAAAACTCCTACCTGCTTACGAGAGATACAAGAGCCAGCTTTTGTCTGTAATGGCTGTTATGCTATGCTTCCAAACGATAGATCCGTGTCCTTGAGAGCTTTGATGATTTGTATATCTGATGACTCGACTACCGCCAGCTTTTTGCAGACGACTCAGCTTCGGCTAAGCTGAAGCTGCTCATTTTCTTTCGTTGATCGATTGCCAAGCAGTCCGATCGGTCATACCGTAGAAGTGTCGTATGTTTTCTGGCATAATAGGAACGTTGTGTACGCCGGTTCGCTTTGGTGGCATTTGTAATAGCATCGTGGTCCCTATGATTGTTTGATTTACGTAGCATGCAGCATCTCCACCGCCATCAAATCCCGAGCCGGCACCGCCGCAACAGCCGGTTCAGAAAGCACCCGTCTCGCCACAGGAACGCATTGACAAAGTCTTGTTGGATCTCGCCGATCTCAACGGTAAAGTTAACGCGTTCAAGGGTACTGACCAAAAGGCAAAGGAATACCGTTTCCTCGACGAGATGCTCACGCGTCTTATGCTTAGCCTTGACGACGTCATCACAGATGGAAACGAGACCTTGAGGGCTCATAGGTGGGTATGACAGAAATAGGTAAGCCTGCAAATTACATCTGTAAAGTCTAACTACTACAGTTTTACTATAATTATTCGAATATCATATTGATGACACATTATAATGGTCGCGGATTGAACGAATTCTCACCCGGTTGATCAGCGCTCGATGTTTACGGGGTAAGGGTTTAAGGGATACGCGTGTTTACAACAGCGCGCTTTTTGATCGGCGATCGAAAGCTACTGTCAATAGTAGAAACTTCATAAAGCTTGGTTTCAGCGGCTCGGTTGCAAAACTGCTTTTGAAATAGGGCTCATAGTAACGTATTATGTCATTCTGCGTGGGTTTCTCTTCGAGTAGTTGTTTTGCCTCTAGATAGGTAAAGCCTTCTCTAATAATGCTTTCGGCAAAGTTTTGGATTATGAATCTCCGTTGAGACAGCTTATCTGCAAAAATGTTGCTAGTCACTTGAAGAAAGGAGACGAAAGATTCGAAAAACGATACGAGACCCACCACCCTACTAAGCCTGACAGGCGCGCACTGTTTAGAGTGACAGAACATGGCTTCGTGGTTCAAAAATAGGTCGCCGTCCCCTCTTGTGAGTCTAATTATGTCATTTGCTTGTTATTGAGGAACAAACCTCTTAAGTGAAAGTCCACTAAAAGAATTTAATTTCATACAAATCTAGCAATCTTACGTATTTATTTAGCATGTTAACAAAGACTAAGAAAATACAGGGTAATTTAATCGCAGCATTATCAATTCAATATATCTATATTTTAATCTGAAACGTGTTTCATTTGCGGAGCATGACGGGTGGCTGAATCAGCTGTCTATACGGTTTTACAGAAGGGGCCTACGCTGTTTTAACTACCCACAGCTTCTATTAAGTGTGCTAGCATTTGAGTACGTTACAACTTTATCATTGGTGAGTTCCCATATCATCGCAATGCGTTTAAACTAGGTTCCTATGAACTGGGGAAGTTGAAAAACAGATTATACTTCCGTTCCTTTAAGAAAGCAATAACGATCTCACTGTATCCACGCAATAAATTTAGATTTGGTGTTTTTTTTTTAAAGATCGTTACTGTGACGTCTTCTCATTGATTAACATTGTTCGTATTGTTTCCACACTCTGCTCAATAGAAAGTCCGCAATCAAAGAAGTGCAACGTGTCATTGACAAGTTGGAGAAAACCGTTCAGACCAATGCGGAGGCAGCCCAGAAAAAAAATCAGCAGAAGCGGGCGCCAGCGCTTAAAGCACAGAAAGAAGAGCCCGCTGTTCACGCTCCTGTTGACAAGGCGCCTTCCTGTGACATTACCGTAACTGCTAGCTCTCCTAAAGAGGCCTCCCCGCCAAGACGAGATAAGTCTCCTATGAAAAAGCGGCAGGCTTCTCCCATCAAAAAGGACAAGCGCTCCCCTTCGCCGAAAAAAGAAGTTGGGTTAATTGGAAGGCAATGCGTCTCTTCGTGCACCAAGGAGTCGCAAACACCGTCCACTATCACCAACGATAGCAGCGCAACGTGTGACGGGGTATCTGTCACCGTAAACGGAACGCCGGTTTCATTGACTTCCCCTGTGGATTCCGCTGCAGCAGATTCGTCGAACACCGACCCTATGGAAAAAATGAAATTCGCTGACGATAGTCAGACTGACGAACCCACCACCCCGGAGCCTATTGTGTCCACCGCAAGCATTGAACTAAAGAAATAGATGCTATCTAAGTGCACTGCTAGTGGATATATATATATATATATACAAAAAAGTAATAATCTGATGTTATCTAATGACATCAATGCATTATTAAGTTATACTTATATATACTATAATTTCTGCTGATACATGTTTCTGCTTCTTGGAATTGAGAAGAGGGATTATCATAAGTGCAGCAGGGAAAGAGAAGCTAGGAGAGCCAGCTGGCCGAATATGATTGTTGCCTTATAGCCTGATTTAATCAGTGGCATGGATGCAGTGACGAAAGCCGCTAAGACAGAGTACGTGGTATGTTAGTTTGACATGGTGAAGGCCGTAATAGCTCGCTAACCAGATGATGATTACTTGCCAACATTGCCATGGTTTTGGATGGTAAGTGTGCACCTTAAGGTTTTGAGGCATGGTGTTTGGTGCCGGACAGACATAAAAGCACGTAAATCAAGTAAGATTCGATAGTTATGGTGGTAATGACAACTTGAAGGTGAATATTATGGGAAGTTGTAGCTGTCGTTTGCAACGACAAATAGCTCCTTTCTTCGAGTGCTAGTCAGATGAAGATAGATGAAGTGTCTCAATTCCAAGTCGTCAGGCTTTCGAGGTTGTTCGTTCGAGATCTGTCTGAAGATTGCTCATTGCAGTACGTCTGCTAGCCGCCCAACGGGAACTAGCTGAAATATTAAACTTGGGTGAGCATCTCCTTGACATAACTCTCCAGTGAGCTCATGTATATATGCAGCGTAAGTGAAAGACCGAGGAGAAGGCTGGGGTAAGTCGAACGAGCTGCTGGATCCGCACCTCACGGGTCAAGAGGCTGCCAGTCAGTTGTGCTGGCGCAATTTCGTCGCAGAGAGAGCAACTTCATGGAACGAGGAAACCGCGCCAACAGTCGTCGAGTCTTCAAGCTAAATACCCCTTGCTAAGGTATTCCCTGTGAATACTAGCGGCGCCCTCGGCCAACGTTGACACAATGTACTTCATGATCTATAATGGTGATGATGATTTAAAGTGCGGTTATGTAAATAAAATATTTATCTATCTATCATATGGCACATATATAATGCGCACAGTCATTGTTTTAGTTAGTTTTTACTGTAATAACTATCCTTAGTGTAGAATCATTTCGATTAGATAGTGACGAATAGGAATGGATTGCAGACAGCTTTGTAATATTTTCCTCAGGTATGATTGTCAAATTGCACCAGATGTTTACAGATAAAGAGTTTCGCTATCAAAGAAAATCACACTGACGTCTTATTGGGACCGCTAACATGCGCTAACATTAACTATGTGAAAATCTTGGAAAAAACAGCAGAAACGTAAACGCCGGCTTTGTGGAACATTGTCATACAAAACCGCTGCAAAATAACATCCCCCCCTTTTCTGTTGAAACACTGATGGATGCTTTTCATTGGGATCGCCTTACCTTAGTGCGTTCTTGTTTCATCCTATAGTCTCAGCATTGAAACAGCAAAATTTATTACCTCCAGAAGTTTCGCTACACCTAATTTGTCGCGAACAACAATAGCCTGCTTCTGGCCGTAAAGTAACGCCAGTATTTTCAGGACAAAAATAGGCCAGCGTAGCCTTAAGGTTAATTTATTAATTTTAAATTATGCCAGAATTGTGGTAACTCGAACACGAGCTGATTCTGTCAGTAGGAGAACAACGCACCTAAAGATTTAAGAGGATCTATGTGCTTGGAGATAATGTCCAAAAACTTTCCGATTAACTTAACGTTCATCAATGTGTTAGCTTATTCTTAGTCCAATAAGAAGCACGGGGTTTTTGTTTTCGGGTCAAGTGGTTGTATTTCTTATATTCAAGAAACTGAAGTGCGTGAAACACGGACGTTTCAGACAGATACATTGTTGTTCAAGGCAAGTCCGTGTTTCGTATGTATAGCTTTCAGATAAACATAGTTGGTCCTATTTTTTGTAGCGTCATGACGATTCTTCATCAGCAACGTTTTTTCGAGTTTTGAATGTTCTAGTTTGGCCTAATCACCATTTAAAGTGCACGCACGTTTTTCAAGCCATTTTGCGTCGATTTTTTGCAACATGATATTACAGCAGCTGATATAGCTACCAACGAAACAAAGGGGCGCACTTCATTCATCGCTATTTTTTTCTGTCGTAGCATATGTAGGGATTATTTAATAGACATATATACTGCTAGGTCCCATGTCCTTCTTCTTCTAATTGATTCAGCATTCATAAGCACAAATCCAACTTCCTATATAGGTACACATATTAGGCCTAAGTATATATTTTTTCTTGCCGTTTTAAGTGATTCTTTTGAATCTTACTGCCCATACTTGAACTTGACGTAAGGATGCAGAGAAATCGATTTTCGGTATTCCCGTTTTGTTACGAGTTGAAGTTTCCAAATCGAAATGTTTTGCTTTATTTTTTCATAATACCTCGATTTTAACCGTAATACAGAAACAGACGCTTGTATTTTTGCCCACTTACCCTTCCTGAGAAGTGGTCAGGAAACTAAATAGTGTAAGCTGGCTACGGATAACTATCCTGAAAAATTTGCTGTGTTTGTGAATTACTTCACCGCTTTGTGCCAGACTTTGTGCAAGTATAACAGTATGGTAACTTCAGCAGCGTTGAGATATACCGTTTGAAATCCTACTACGGAGTAGGACCAGACGTTGTATTCCCGATAATAATAATACTAGGATTAACAATTCGATTTTGCTGATTCACATTCAACTTGCATTGTCGCGTGTTACTAATTTTTAAGCCAGAGATACTAATTCTCCGTACTTAACATAGAATTTTTCCCTGATTTATTTCTCCTGTTATTAATTAATGCGCAGTTAACAAACACACATACGAATTCTGTAGAATATATGAAAAATGACATCACTGGCATCTGTAGCGTTGCTTCGGAATAAACGGTAGTCAATCGTTTCGAGAATTGTGGTCTATCTGCCGATTTCTCGGTTCGTTTATAAAACTCGAGCCTATCTTTTTCCTATGTGCTCTGCTGCAAACACAACCACTAATATGCGAACTCAAACGGCATCTACATTTATAGGTGCTATGCATAGATTCAAGCTACATTTTCCAAGGCATCTCGCTAGTAAATTAGCCAGGTGGTTAGGGTAGCACCAAAAACGCTGGTTTGTTGCTTGCTTCGTTCAAGTTTTAGCTTCTCTAAGAACGCGCTTTTGTGCGTCTGTGCACGTCTATCCGTACCTGTATGTTTTTGTTTTATCTTCTATATAGTATCTGTATACGTCAGCTAGCAGTAAACCAGTGTAGTAAGCCTTATCCTCATGCTTATTCGTGGTGACGGTGGCGATGGGGCCTACTGTTCAAGGAGATTCAATTCTACTTTTCGCTGACTATGTAAGTAGACATATACGATTGAGAAGTCTAGAAAGAGCACGATCGCTAGGTCAGAGATTTCTTACTCTCTTCGTTCCCGGCATGGCGCCTGTTTGTCCGTATCTAGGCTTAGCTAGCCTAGACGCTTTTTTTGCCAGTCGCTAAGCCACAATTTCAGGGTTAGGATGGGGATGTGTTTATTTACAAGTATGTAAGTAAATAATCTATCGCGCGTTCACTACGTACACATCATAGGCAAAAAGCATTGAAGTCACTTTTGAAGTAACAACGACTCTCGCTTTCTCTGAAATAATAAATGCACCGCCGTCGATGTATTTTTGTTATAGAAGTCGTATTATGAAACAAAAATGTTTATACAGAACAGTGTGGATCTCTTTACTTGTAAGAATTATGAGTCAGACTAGCATGACCTTCTGTAGAACTCTTTTCCGGTAAAAGCCGTAACGGTAACAAATGTAAGGCTGGGGTCAAAACATCACGCAAAAAATGTCAGGGAAAAATGAACAATTTTTCAAATAGATGCAAAAGAAGGTATGATCAAGTAGATTAAGATTAATTGGTTTCACATAGGTATACATCTACAATCAAGGTTAGGTCTGTTTTCCTTTGCTGCTCTTTTAGGTATGGACCAGTTAAGAAGTTTTGAGAGCATATCACTTGCGGAAATCCTGCAAAACTAGTCAAAAACAACTCACAATGGTGCTGAAATCAGAATATAGAATCATAGTATGCAGATTGTCATCTTATAATTTAAATTGTTAATATGGCAGTCAGGTGTGCGCACTGCGGTGTAAGGCTATTGCAGGCAAAGTGCTACATAGCCCTTTAAACGATCAGACAATGCTTGTTGATGTTCATTGCCGATGGGATGTTACCGAATTTTTTTTATTTGGAAAGGCTTCAAACGCTGTAGTGCGCTGAAAGAGAAAAGGAGAGTTGTATTGAGAGTCGCTTTGTTATCGTTGGCAGTGGTGACTGAGCGATCCTCTGGGGCCTATCTCGCATCGTCCGCTGCTACGGCCTGGTCTTTTGCTCATTACAGTGGCGCCACCTTGATCACGTGAATGTGACCAGAAATGCGCTCGTATAAAAACTAGAAGCTCATTCACTAGTCCTTGGGTTGACCATGTCATCGACGAAGAATAATCTCTATTGCCATAATGGTGTGCCGATTAATACGACGCGGCCGGACTTTTTACAGAAATAGCAATAGGGTTTTGAGAGTTACGAAGTTAAAACATGATAATTGTTATCGCAGACAATTAAAAACGATTTCTGTTCAACTATCTAGAATCTCATGTTTTGCACAAACGTGTCGCTTGCAGGTAAATCGCCTACCTACTTCTAAAGCTGTAGCGGAAACGGCGCAGTTCACAATGAGTAGACAATCTTCTGGCGCTCTCGTACAGAGCCTATCGTAATAATAACTACACCTCATTGTTAATAACTGAGTGGTATAACTCTTTTATTTCATATAACGTTTATGCAGAATCTACAGTTCCTTGGGTACAAACGTCTCCTTTCAGCTGCTTACTGAACACGCTCGCCTTGGGGCGTTGCTTGTCTTTTCATTCTATTGTATTGTCTGAATCTTACAATATATTACAGCATACTCGTGCGTATAATGTGTCTGTTTTCCTATCAATGACTTTGGTATTATATGATACATTCAAAATAACCAAAAGTACGCTTCATAGTCACCCATGCGCTCTGTACACACAGCCGCTCGGACACCCGCACAGCGCCCGTATGCCGTGTCTTGAATTAATAACACCGAGTGCTACGACTGGTCGTCGTCGTCGTCGCCGCCGCCGCCGCCGCCGCCGCCTTGTACTACCGCTGCTGTTGACTACAGTTGAGCTGGCTGCCAGCTGACTGTTGCAATGGGTAACAGCAAAAGCATTGTTACTGGAACTGTAGCAGCAACGGTGGCACTAAATTAGTGTGCAGAACGTACGCGTTACACTATGCCCTGATGACCCGCGGCGACGCTGTGAAGAACCAGCCGAGAGAATGGCCCGTCGTTGCTGCCGAAGCAGTAACAGCAACGCAAGTGGCCGTATTGAAGAGACCCTGCGCTTGTCGGTTGGGGTATCAGACTCAGTGATGATCGACAAGAGAACGGCGCCAGCCGGTCCGCAGCACCATCCATATGAACGCTCCGAAGCGGCCAACATGGTTGTTGTATTATAAGGAACCCACAAATATGTTAACTTATGGAATATATATATGTAGCTATGCACTCTCTTACATGAAGCACCATTAGTATTACTACTGCGATTAAAACTCGCAACGAAAGCAACTCATAAAACTAAACCGCGGGCCAATACCCGCCGCGATGTTCAGGGAGAGAGACGTGTTACGCCGTATCGTCCGTGTCTATAACGGTACGCCGCAAATCGACTTCGACCCTGCCGGCCAGGGAAAACCCAGCCAGGTCGAAAAGTGTCGATTCGCAGTGGCTTGCCTCGACCGCCTAGCTGCACGTATCTGACAATGAAACTTCCTTCTTTCTATTAGCTATTCCAACAGCATCTCTGGCGACACCGTTAGTGTTTCTGCTCTCGTAGCTACAAGCTTTGTTACCGATACCGCTGCTACTGCTGTTGTTTGTATGAGTGGTTGTGTGTTATTGCGCGTTGTTTCTATGTAGGATAGCTGTCTGCCTGCTGTTTGCATGTCCAGCATCAAAC